GGGAAATTAAAAGTTTTCTTCTGCAGCATCAGCAACGGGGGGTTGCAGACATATATCCAAAACTGGTTTATTTTACTAAAAGTGAGCCAGTACACACAATTAGATCTTGGTCTCTGAACATAGGGTAGACATGTTGTACTCAACAATATGTAAGCTTGCCACATTGCAATGGCTGTCAGCTCCCCCCAAAGCTACTCCACCACACAATGAGAAATGGCTGCTGGGAACCCACCCCCTTTTATAGTAAAGGGGCTGGCACATAAAGCCATCATTATTGGTCATTCTAAACAAGGTAACCTAAAGTTCAAAGGCCAAGCAGTGTATAATTGTAACAAAGCGTTCAGTTTACAAAATTTCAGCACTAATCTGTGGGGACCATAAATGTTGAACCTGCTGGATCCACAGCAAATCCAAGGTAGCAGTAAATCTAAACCTCATCCACGGCCAAAGGGATACGATACTCAAGCTCTCACCTTGGTGGAAGCAAACCTGGAAAACCCTCCTGGCTTCATTCTTAGTCTTTTTTTCTTCTTGTTCATAAGATCGACAACAGAGCGCATGGAAGGTGGAACTGTGAGAAACCATAACATAAGAACAAGGGAGAATAATGATTAGTGAATACAGTGGAAATGCTAAAAACAAGGGCAATATAAGCTAAGAATTTATTTTCACATTGGAGTGTTTTCCTGCAGAGTGTCATGTCATTTTTACCATAGAAAAAAAAAACTAAACAAAAAGGGTCAAGCATAGTAATATTTACATAGAATGTTCAGGAGTTAATAGTCCCTGTAGGTCCAACTTCTCTGATCTGATACTTTTTCTTGGAAAGCAAATAAGCCATTAAATCAATACAAAACAGCCTGACAAGCCGGAGCTGATCGAGGGAGAGAAACTCTGCAGCTTCTCACAAGCTGTCAGAGAACTGACACAGAACAGGGCTGTGTGTAAACAATGCAGCCCTGCTCTGTGTCAGCGATCACCGTCAATCGCGGGAAAAATGGCCGGTAAAAACCGCCCGTGACCCGTCGGCTGACACCCGCGGGACAGGTAGGGCGGGTGCGCTCCTCGCACGCGCCCCCTACCTGTTTTGAAGGCAGCCGTTTTAAAACGTGCTTTTGCCTATGAGTGCCGCCCTGCCACCGTTTATATGCGGTGGCTGGGCGGCAAGTGGTTAACATTTATTAATTTTTAGGAGCACAGAATATTTATGATTAAAACTTAGAATGTGCCACTTGGAGAGAGGTTAAAGAAAGCCTTTTGCTTTTAATACATTGAAGAATGGGGCTCCCAGAAGCCACACACATAACTGATACACCAGGAGAATATATACTTACTCAAATATTCGGGAACATTTTTCAGGTGAGGTTTCACTACTGCCGGGTGCAGAGGCTTGTCATGTCTAAGAAGGTGGAAATCCCGTGGATTATCCTCAAAATATGTCTGCACAAAGAAGAATACATTAAGAACAGGTTCACTTTGTAAAAGTTGCACACAAAATCTAGAAAATAATGTCTGAGAAAACCATGCATTACATCGTGTTAGTGTCTTTGATTTCAGAAAAATATACAAAAAACAGGAAAAATTATAAATGGATTAGAACTGTCCAAAGCCATCATTTAGTTAAGGGTGGATAATGCTTGCTGGCATATTTACTGAGAGATATCAGCAGTTCCTAGCTCGCCTCACTTCCTACAGACATCATTTTAAATGCAGCATAAAGGAGAAAAACACCCCGTTATGGGGTAGAAATAGAAATTCTGCTGGGGGCTTTCAACTGTACATTCAGAGAATTTTAATCAGTTGCTGGGTGACTCAAACCACCAGCAAAATAACTGAACTTTATAGAATATCTGATATGGTGTACTAAGCAAAATGAGTACTTTACAGAAAAAGGTATATAGTTTCAGATGAGGTACAAGTTCATTCAAAGAATACAGAATGCCTGATTCTTGGGCACACATTGCTCACTGTACTGATAAGACTTGTCAGTTGCTGAATGGTACTAGGGGAAGCTCGGACATTGGGTTATTTAAGCAATCTCTCAATGTGTAAGGTCAGAGAGTGCCTTGGAAAGAACACAGGGCTATGAATCACTGGCTGGCCTCAGATGATCCCTGTAAACTAGAAATAGCACTAAAGCTGTAAAAAAAGTGGTTATATAACATTGTAGTCCTCTGTGTGCTCCAATCATCAGAGCAGCTCAGTGGAACTCACACAGACAAATACACACAAGCATGTGAACAGTTTGCCTACCAAAATATTTTAGAATTTTGCTCAGTCATACCAGTGCACACTATACTGCCTGGAAGAGGACTTTATTCACCACTACAGCTTTTCAGTTTCCTATGTCACCTGCCTACGTGCCAACTATCAAGAAGCATCATTTCACTACTGAGCTCTTTTCTTTGCCCTACTCCAACTGTAAGCTGCCTAAACTTCTGCCCATTTCCCTCTGCACATTACATTGACACCAATGTGCCTTAATAGCTCAACTTTCATAATCTCCAGTAGACACACTGATGTATGCTAGTAAGGGTACTGCGGGAAAATAATATAAAGACAGATTTCAAATTAGTTATAAAAGCATTATTTTCAGACATTTTACATTGAATACATAACTAGAGAGACATTTTTATATTTGTTTGACATTGTTTTTAATTGAAAACATGTTTACTATATGTAACAATTATTTGTGTGTTGCAATATCTGCCAGAACAGATGCCATTCCAACTGGAAGCAGACATGAAGAATGCCTGAAGAGGACCAGAGCTCTTGACTACAGAGAGGACAGCTCAAGCAAGTTTTTTTTTTCCAAATACTGGGCTATTATTCTAAAATAAAATGTAGAAATCGTATTGGACTCTAAAATAAGCATGCTGGTGGATTACACAATGAAAACAATCTATATACAGAGCACTTGTCACTTCCCCATGAACTTCCGTTGCAAACTCCGTCCTCCTGTAATGCCTGACAAAGCACCCATTTACATTTGGCAGCATCACCAAGCTCACACTTGACTGTTTAATTAAAAAAAAAAAAAAAAAACTAACCTTAATAGCAAACAATGTCTATCAGATGTGGACTTGTAATTGCCTGCTTGATGTCAGACACTGCATTCTTATTGTGGCCACAGACTCACTCTGCCCAAGTGGGTTTTCTGGCAGCAAGCTACTTTCCTCCAAAGCCCACAAAACGCTATTAGGCCAGGTGGTTTCCTAGCAAACTTGATACCCAGCAGCTGTGAGATGAGTGTCAGTAGAAAGGTAGACTGTAAATTGTGCTGGTTCAGAGATTGATATGCAAAAGACTCCCATTGAAATTTACTATAACATTTCTTCCCAGGGCTGGGACCTATATATGTGTACATTTCCACTGAGGAAATCCAGGCTGTCATTAAAAGCATCAAGGTGAATAAAGGCCAGACCCAGACAGGTACACTTTTTTTTTTTTTTTTACAAAAAGCTCTCTAAGCTTACTCTGCATTGGCGGTGTGTCTAAAACCAGACAACCCTCTCCCCCGGAATCATTGAAGGACAATGTGGTCAAGATCCCCAAATCAGATCCTGATCCGCATTCATAGTCTAATTACCAACCAATATCTCTCCTAAATAGTGATGTGAAAATTCTCACCAAGATATTGGCAACCAGTCTTAACTCCTTTTTGGGGAAGCTTATCTGTAAGGACCAAGTGAGTAAACAAAAACATGTATAGAGCAATATAACTGTTTGGCCAATTCTCGTTCAAACCTTGCTATGTTACTGTCTCTTGACGTCCACGGGGCTTTTTATACTATTTCCTTGGAATATGTTTTTTGCTCTCTGGAAGTAGGGCTTTGATGAAAATTTTTTATTATGGATTTCAGCTATGCCCAACCTATTGCTATATTAAAACATGCGGGCTTCACCTTTGACCCTTTTCTTATTAGCTAGTGCACTAGGCAGAGATGCCCTCTTTTCCCTATAATATTAATTCTGGCACTCTAACCCTTAGCAGCAGCCATCTGTGCAATCTTGGACATCCGCAGACTTAAAATAGGCAGAGAACATCATAAAATTGATGCTTCTTGCAGATGGTATCTTGAAGTACATCTCATCCCCTCACAACACTCATTCCAACCTTACCTTGGCCCCAGACCAATGCCAGATGATTCAGGCCCTCTATGTTTAAATATCTGGCTGCTCTTCTCACCTCCTGTCTCTGTAAAAAAGACCTACTTCCCCAAACTTCTGTGTTATTTTAGAGTCTTGACAGTGTCCATGATGAGTCACCTCTTGAGAATTCATCAATTTGGCATTGCAAAAGGCCAAGACGATCAGCAATTGGTATTGTACCATTGAAAGCTGAACAGGGGGCCTTGCAGTGCCCTGTCTTATTCACTACTTCACAGCAGCTCAAATTGCCCCTCTTTTATCCTTGCATGCTACTCATGAAATTTGCACCCATTTTACCATAGCAGAATGGTCCCCTATTCCCCATGCACAACCTAATCTGGACCCCCCTTCCCCAGAGGCCCAAGATTTCTGACCCCTCAATTCAAAAGTATCTCTGGCAATGGTGTGGCACACAAAAGGCATTGGGTAGGTAGAGAAAATATATATTTGCAGGAACATTGGAATCTACCCACCAGGGAAGCCTTTCATTATGCCCAAGCAGGCATTTTATCTGAACCTTTATCACACGATAGCGAGTGTCCTACACACCTGACCCCATTCAAAAACCACTGGAAGGATCCCAACTCTAAAAGGTTTGGTTTACACTCTATACGCATTGCTTATGGACTTCATGGAGGTTATTTACTAAAACTGCATGGTGCAAAATCTGGTGCTGTTCTGCATAGAAACCAATCAGCTTCCAGCTTTTATTGCCAAAGCCTAACTGAACAAGCTGAAGTTAGAAGCCGATTGGCTATCATGCACAGTTGCAACAGATTCTGAGTGCATCTGATTAAGTAAATCTCCCCCATGGGTCCCAGTAAATGTGCTTATATGGACAAGTGGGAAAGAGACTTCAAAATGCCCGTACAGCATCTTAGCCCAGGAAAATGCTTACAAATTGATTTTGCATTGGTATCTGTAGAGAGCACAGAACCCTTCACCACATTTGGCATTCCTGTCCCAAAGCCTCCTGCTTTTTGAAATGTGCATATAACTTGGCCTGGCTGGTCCTAAATATTACTCGTCTGTAACCCATGGGAAGCCCTATTACACAGACCTATCTCAAACCTTAATAGACATGAGCAAAAGCTGTTGGGGTTTATGTTCCTGGTGCTCGGTAAAGGTTAGATAACACTTTGAGACACAAACTGATCAACTTTGCTGGAATTAAACAGAGGCTCATGGGGACCACAATACCCGAGAAGCTCGCCTCCATACTTACCCATGCATAATTTCTTAAGGTTTACAAAACGTGGTTGAACTAGATTGGGCACAGTTCCCTCCTTTTGGTATAATCAGATACATCGGTCCATACAGGTACAGCTGGTGGGCCAAGTCTCAGGAGAACCCTCCATATCCTTGCCTTTCCTTTTTCCCTTCCCTCTCCAATGCTTCAGATCCCTATTTTCTGCACATCTTTTTCTTCCCCTCTTTTCTATTTAATTCCCTTCTCATTCTCTGTCATTTTCTTGATGATTTACTCCTACAGATACACACTTCTATCTCCCATACAGGGTCAATCACAGGCTTCATTAAATGACCTTATGCACACTGCATCATACATCTTTTACATAATATATTTGTATTTTGACAATGGAGCAGAGTATTCCTCATGCTGTCTTTTTGTCTGTTATGCTTCTATACCCATGCCTCCTACTGTTCTATTAAGTTCCAGGCTCCGCAAGTGGGGAAATTCTATCGACTCCAATAGCCATGACAGAAAACATAGCCATGCCCAATTCTGCATGGACAGTGGGAAAGGATACAACATGGGGCAGGTGAGCATTGCTGCTAGATATCTGAGAGATATTTCATAAGAATAATTGGAATTTAAAGCGCTGTTCCTTTTTCTTACCTGTTGGCACCATAGAAACTAAATAAGCATACACTCTGTACCTGGGATTTTACCCTTTCAAGAAATAGCAGATAGCAGAGATAGTATTAAGAATTTTATATAAACGGAAAAAGAGAAGCTGGTTCTTATTATAAACAGAAAGCAATGGGATTTTCACAACCTTTAGTTTCTCAGAGTTGAGTATAGCTCCTCCTTTATCTCCTTCAGACGTGCCTCCTTTATAGCTTGTTTTGTCACGGACCTCATGGCATCCTACAGGAAGAAGAGACAAAGACAGCCTTCAAATTACAATTTTTGCTGTTAACAGAAACAGTGGCAAAAATTCAAAGAACTTAATCATTACTCTGCATTTCCACGCATCCAGCAGTTTGCTCAGCTGAGGAACCCTGAATATATAACTGGTGTTTAGTCAATGCAGAGGAAATAATTGGTCTTGCTTTATTACCCCCTCAGAAGGAAAACATTCCTATCTTTCTTAGATCCCCCACTGCGTCACTTGCGCATTTAAGAAAATACCCGGTACTTTTTAGGTACTGTATAGAGGAGCATGTAACAGCAATGGAGCTTGCCACTTGGCCCATCACCATCACATAGCACGGAGAGAGTCTTCAGCATTGTGTAAGCTCTGACTGGAGAGACTTGTAGCTTACAAAGGGCCATTTTTTTTTTTACTTTTAGCAGTTTATCATAACCATGGGAGCACAGCAATGCATGTGCAGCTGTGGAAGGGGGCATTTAGGTTAACTTGTTTGCCGGTAGATGGCAAAACTGTAAAGGCAATAACCGTAAGGCTAGAACAATGAAAAACAGAGTAACAATAAAAAACAAAAAAAAAAATCTCACACTAACAATATTAATCTGGTACATAGCTGCGGTACTTAAAAATTGTTGTAAACTTGGGAAACACAAGAAGAAAACGGCAATGCACTATAATTACTGTGGCAACTCACCAAATGTACTGAGTAATAAACAGTTACAAACACAAATACTCACATCAAAATTTAAAAAAAAGCAGCACTTATTTTTTTTTAGTTTAATTGGCTTGGTTGATACAGTTAGTAATTATAGCGCAGTGTGGTTTTCTTCCTGTAAATACAGTAACAGGTTGCACAATCCGAGCTGCCACTTTGCCTGTGTGCAATGGTGCTTGACCTTTAAGATGGTGATCAAATACAACAAAGTAGCCCTTTTGTGGTAGGGAAAGATTTTTGTGTGCTAAAGTGTCATGTGCCACTGCGATTGGTGGCATGGGTAAAAATGGATGTTCATAAAGGGCCTGGCTTATTATGACATCCTTTCACATCCTCCAACAGCGGCTGTTGCCTTTCAGTCACATAACTTCCCACAGCCGCAAACGTAGTTGGTGATGTAAGAATTCTCTCTGGCGGACAATAGACCTGGAGCAGGCAGCTATATAATTGTTTGAGTTTTTGGTACATGGGTGCACTAGGACCCTGGTTCCCATTGTGCTACATGCTGGGGTCTAGTGCACTCCTTTGCCTTTAAGAGGGGTGGCTCCCTCAGGTTCACCTGCCCTTGATCTATCCATTAAATGCATGTGCCTCTACTATGTGGACTCACAAATCGTAGAGTTAGGACCACAGATTATCAGGGTGCCGTGTCGTGGTTCTGTGGCTTACGTATGTATTTGCAAATGTGTGCTAACTAAACCCCTGTTATAAAACGCATACTGTTAGACAGGTTAATTCGGTTGTTAGCAAGCTGGCTGGCAAGTTGTCCAAGAACATTGTTCTCTCTCCCTTATTCACTATGTGATGCCTGTTTATGTGTCCTTGCTTCATAAGCCAGTTATAGACTTGGGCGGTTGGCCATTTTTATTGCAGCTATATAATGCCCACCTTGTGACAATAAGCAAGGGTCTCAATCTGATCGATGTCTGAAGAGTGAAGTAGGCAGCCAGACAAATATATCTTATTAATACTGGCCTCAGGGGAACATACCCCCAAGTCCAGTCCTTTTGCGATTGGACCTAAAGCAGTCCAAAAAAGGGGTATATTTTCACTAATCTTTTTAGTGATTGGAACTGTTTATGGAAAACAAAATTCATTCAGGAAAAGGCATGCTGAAAAATAACTGTTTGCAGGGTCCAGGCCTCTAGCAGCATTTAAAGCTCAGGACACTGCAGCTTTTCTGAAAGAGTTTAAGATTTTGAAAATAAACTGTACTAATAAAAATATGAAAAATGCCACTGGTGCACTTGTGGAAATGCTAATTGTCTGGCTATTATGCTGATCAAAAATCTCTAATATTATCTAAGCCACAAAAATGGAAAAAGTATTGCACATAAAAAGATTTCTGATTTCACTAGCTGCATGCCTGTTCCAGGGCCACGACTATCAATATAAATATGCCTACAAGAGAAGTTATGTTTCCGAACAAGGACAATGTGGGACTGAAAAAAATTCTACAAAAGCCGTAAAAATGTTATAGGACAATCAGCAGAATCTACTATGCCTTTATTTTTAAAGATGAGCAATAAACTAAAAGCTAAATACATTGCTAAAATGCATACATTTCTTCCCACAAAGACACCCTAGAAAACCGGGGAGAACAGTCATACTGACCCGACAACGGTACCGGAAGCCCTCCACTTCCTCCATGCGAAACCTGTAGGGACACAGCACACTTTCGCCGGTACCAGCTGCAAGATAAAGATTTGCTTACTACTACAGAAACTGAGGCAATTAAAAAAAAAAAAAAAATCCATCTTATCTAATCTCTATTTTTGGCTCTGTGACTGTCATTTTCTTACTTTATGCCTCATCTGCTTCCCTTTGTATCAGAGATCAAAACTTAATAAAAAAAAAAAAAAAAAAAAGTTTATTTTTGATTGTTTTACAACAGTCTTAAAGTGAGATTTTGACCCAGAGGAACACAAAAGTGAAATCCTAGGGAGGGTGAGAACTAAGAAAAATTTATGTACTTTCACTTTTTTAGGTCTATAAAAAGGTACTAATATTAACAGTTACATAATCTTACAGAAAATAGAAGCAGACTTTTAGGTATTTTCATTATCTAGGTAATCTGGCTGTAAAAACAGTCACTATGGTCACCATGCAAGCCTAACATTTTTTTTTGTGTGATAAATACAAGATTTACAGTATGACTTATGGCAAAAGATAATTTATGACAGCTATAATAAATATATGCCAGTATGTTCAGATATTAAACTTACTACCACCAAGAGCTTCTTCAATTTCTGCCAGCAGGGAGAGCTCTGTGTGTGCCACTAATGTTAAGACCACACCTGGGTTGTTAGCACGAGCAGTTCTAAAAAGTTGAGAAAGCAATTTAGGAAAATTCAACCCAGAGGGAAATAAAAAAAATGTCACGGCTTTACTTGATTAGATACATACCTGCCAGCTCGGTGAATATAGGAATCAACAGATAGGGGGAAATCAAAGTTTAGTACTGTAGACACATTCTGAAAGTCAATGCCCCGAGATACTCCATACTCACTGTCCTGGCCTCTGAAAAGAAAAGTTCAGCTAAGACAATAGGAAAAAATGCAGTAACAATATAGTCAGGTCCATAAATATTGGGACATCGACGCAATTCTAACATTTTTGGCTCTATACACCACCACAACACAATGGATTTGAAATGAAATGAACAAGATGTGCTTTAACTGCAGACTGTCAGCTTTAATTTGAGGGTATTTACATCCAAATCAGGTGAACGGTGTAGGAATTACAACAGTTTGCATATGTGCCTCCCACTTAATAAGGGAACAAAAGTAATGGGACAGAATAATAATCATAAATCAAACTTTCACTTTTTAATACTTGGTTGCAAATCCTTTGCAGTCAATTACAGCCTGAAATCTGGAACGCATAGACATCACCAAATGCTGGGTTTCATCCCTGGTGATGCTCTGCCAGGCCTCTACTGCAACTGTCTTCAGTTCCTGCTTGTTCTTGGGGCATTTTCCCTTCAGTTTTGTCTTCAGCAAGTGAAATGCATGCTCAATCGGATTCAGGTCAGGTGATTGACTTGGACATTGCATAATATTCCACTTCTTTCCCTTAAAAAACTCTTTGGTTGCTTTTGCAGTATGCTTTGGGTCATTGTCCATCTGCACTGTGAAGCGACGTCCAATGAGTTCTGAAGCATTTGGCTAAATATGAGCAGATAATATTGCCCGAAACACTTCAGAATTCATCCTGTTGCTTTTGTCAGCAGTCACATCATCAATAAATACAAGAGAACCAGTTCCATTGGCAGCCATACATGCCCACGCCATGACACCACCACCACCATGCTTCACTGATGAGGTGGTATGCTTAGGATCATGAGCAGTTCCTTTCCTTCTCCATACTCTTCTCTTCCCATCACTCTGGTACAAGTTGATCTTGGTCTCATCTGTCCATAGGATGTTGTTCCAGAACTGTGAAGGCTTTTTTACATGTCGTTTGGCAAACTCTAATCTGGCCTTCCTGTTTTTGAGGCTCTCCAATGGTTTACATCTTGTGGTGAACTCTCTGTATTCACTCTGGTGAAGTCTTCTCTTGATTGTTGACTTTGACACACATACACCTACCTCCTGGAGAGTGTTCTTGATCTGGCCAACTGTTGTGAAGGGTGTTATCTTCACCAGGGAAAGAATTCTTCGCTCATCCACCACAGTTGTTTTCCATGGTCTTCCAGGTCTTTTGGTGTTGCTGAGCTCACCAGTGCGTTCCTTCTTTTTAAGGATGTTCCAAACAGTTGTTTTGGCCATGCCTAATGTTTTTGCTATCTCTCAGATGGGTTTGTTTTGTTTTTTCAGCCTAATGATGGCTTGCTTCACTGATAGTGACAGCTCTTTGGATCTCATCTTGAGAGTTGACAGCAACAGATTCCAAATGCAAATAGCACACTTGAAATGAACTCTGGACCTTTTATCTGCTCATTGTAATTGGGATAATGAGGGAATAACACACACCTGGCCATGGAAGAGCTGAGAAGCCAATTGTCCCATTACTTTTGGTCCCTTAACAAGTGGGAGGCACGTATGCAAACTGTTGTAATTCCTACACCGTTCACCTGATTTGGATGTAAATACCCTCAAATTAAAGCTGACAGTCTGCAGTTAAAGCACATCTTGTTCATTTCATTTCAAATCCATTGTGGTGGTGTATAGAGCCAAAAATGTTAGAATTGTGTCGATGTCCCAATATTTATGGACCTGACTAAGTAAAAAAAGAAGCAATTAATAATATCTGGAAGAAATAGAGAATATGTGCTGCCATGTACAACCAATCAGCAATTCATTTTACTTTCTGTAACTGGAATGTTATAGATGCAAACATATTTCAACACTTGGCAGAGACAGTTATGGGCTGGACATAGATGGCTATAAAGCATATACAGGAAAATGAATGGTTAGAAACTCAGACAAAAGGACTACAGGTATAATAGGTGTAAGATACAATGTACAGTTAGAGTAGTGACAGTGAAGAGGGCAGGGCAGCGGTGACTTGAGTGCCATTAGTAAGTTGTTACATTGTTTGAGATTTACAAAAAAAACACTCACTTTTCTCCTTTTCCTTTTTTCTTCCTTCCAGTTGCCTTCTTTTCCTTCTTCCTGGGCTCAGCTAATGAGTGTTCATCTGTTGCAATGATGTAGTCGTAGAAACCCTGATTAAACTGTGCTATGATGTGACACCTGCACGACCAAAAAATCAGCTATAATTACTCTAGGGAAATGAATGTACATTCACAGCAAAAAGTCACTGTGGTTGATTTATAAAAGGAATAAAGCATGTGAGCACAGATTCATCTCATTCAATAAGCCAAGTCATTTTCTGCTTGCAAAGTGAATTTTGACTTAGCTAAGTGTATGAGGTGAAGTCGGGTCAACTTCAATCAATCATACAGTCATGTGCAAGCATCCTGCGTTTTTTATATTTTGCTTGTACATGACTGGATATTCCAGGCAAAGCATATTTTCACTTAGCTTACTTCATTCACCAAGTTAAAATTAATTTTGCAAAGTGAACATCTCATACTCCATCTCTACACAAATCCCTAAACTAATTCTATAAAAACCATGTTATCGGTCTTCTAAAGATTTCAAGCTTGGAGTAAAGCATTAGTGCCATGTCACAATCAAAAACGTATTAGTCTAATAGGAGTGAAGTTAGCTGATCACAACATTCTGCTTGTGGAACTGATCTACCTGCAAGTACCTTGACTGCATGATAAAACACCAGTGTCTCTTAAACGATGGGTTGGTACCCAAATTGTGTAGCGGATGTGTCTCTGATGGGTCGTCATACGACTGTGTAGTAAACCTAGTCTATTTTGCCCAAGAGCAAAATCAGTGGTGAGAGATATAGCACACACTATTTATCTTTATTTCAAATTGTATATTATCATAATCTGAGACATGGCCTATAAATAATGCAGTTAAAGTGGCTGTAAACCTCAGACATGAAACCTGAACAAAGCACGTACAGTGGGTATACTGTAGAAAAGACTCACCCATCTGCAGATCGTTACCATCAAATTTAACTGAACTTGAGCAGTTCTGCGAAGAAGAGTGGGCAAATATAGCAAAGGCTAAATGTGCAAAGTTACTAAAGACATATCCCAACAGACTTAAAGGCTGGAATTAAACCAAAAGGTGGTTCAACAAAATACTGACAAAAGGGGGTGATCCTTTTTCCAAAACTTTGTTTTTGAATTTTTTTCTGACATGTTGGTATTATATCTTTCACTTGCATTTTATAGGTTGCACTGAGTAAATACAGCTGGATAAAACAAAAACAGTTTCCATCTTCACTTCAGGCTGCTAAGCAACAAAATGTGATTATTTTAAAAAGGGAGGCGATTCTTTTTTATGCCCACTGTATTTTTAAAGTATTTACTTGCCTCTCTTCAAAGCACTTGGTGTCATTTCTCTCTGCTGTCTAGTCCTTCTGTTATTAGCATGAGTCACTTCTGATTGACAAGTTTTCCTGACATCAAGAGCTAAAAAGGTGACAAGAGCGGGAGCTCTAGCACACAGCCTGTGATTGAAAGCCTCAGCTCTGTTCCTGTGTGCTGTGTTAAGGAGGAGTCCCCTCCCTCCAACCAGCTTTCAGAGCTCTCCTACAGTGTGTAAATGCAGCCGCCTGCCCTCGTTGCAAGTGTGTGAAAAATCCTATAAGGATGTAGAGAACAAATGGCTGTAAATAAACAGGTACAACTTATGTAGGAGGATTTGTTTTACCTCTGTGTATCACCTGGGACCATTCACTTCACTGGGTATAGGAAAGGGTTTACAACCAGTTTAATCTATCACAGAAAGCATAGTCACACCCACAACATCACCACCCCTCTCAAAACCTGTGATGTGCTGAGAAAATTTCAAGATAAAGACAAGGTTGTGAGGTGAAGAGATCCTTACACTAGTTGGAATCATATAACAACAATTGCAACATAAAATGTATTTCTCTCAGCTTTATTATAGCTGACAGAAATGATGAAGAGCAACCTGCGGTGTTCAGCCCTTTTGTTCGACTTTGGGGACATTTTGGCAACAAATTCTCTTGGGTCCCAGTATAGTAACAATTTTCTTATGTGGGCTCTCAGATTAAAATTTTAAAAACCCCTGTTATACATCATATACAAAGGATTCCAACTATTTTGGTTATTAATGTATTTTTTTGTATTCCAGCACTCCGTAGCATACTACCTGAGAGGTGTTTCTCACAGATATACCACCCAACTGGACATCAGTAAGGAGGGAGAGATAGGGCTTTGGGGTCTCATGGCCTTGACATACGAGATGTCATCTGACATGTTTAGAAATAGTGATACACTTCAGCTATCCCTATACACGACAGTGGAGAAGTATAAGGATGCAAACTTGAGCTGACCATCATGCAGAACCTGCTTCACATTCAAAGTCAGTGTGATGCTTTCCACTAAAACAAAAAGGTAACTAAACCAAATATTTTAATACAAAAATGCAAATATACATTTTAGGGATAGGAAAGGAAACCAGATGACCTAAAACAAACCAAAGTACAACCAGGGAGAAAATACAAATAATTCAGATAGCACCTTTGGGGGCAGGTGAACCCAGGCTCTCAAAACATACCGAGATTGAACTGGCAGTTCAGAGTTTAGCACACAAGTTGGAATACTGAACTGTTCCAGGAAAAGCTTGAGCCGATAACTCCTATCCACATCGTTAACAAACAGAATGGTCTTGCCACGGATGAGGGAGAGTTTTAGCAGTGTGTAGAGTAAAAGGAACTTGTCTTCCTCCTCACACTGGATCTGATATTGTGTCAGCTGAGAGCTATCAGGCAGCTGAGATTCTTCCAACTTCAGGGTCACCTGGGTGGCAGGAAAGAAATGGGGAGACAGAAATAATTTATATGCAATAAGAGAAATTAAAGGGCGGTGGTCTGCCTTCTGTAAAAAAAAAAATCAAGCTTAACTAGCTCCTACCCAAAGTGAAAAAAACAAGTTGTGTTCCTTCTTTAAAAATGTATCAATTTTTGGCTTCCCCTTAAAGTGTATAAAACCCAAGAAAAAAAAATGTAAGATTACGTGGCATATATATGGTATCTGCATTCGTTTTGGTTTTTCAGGCCTTTTCCCCACTTTTTTACCTGCTTTTTCAGTAACACATTTTATGTACTAAGGAGGCAACTCTCACTCACTCCACTAAGTCTGGATGAGCAGTGTTGTCACCCTAGGACAGGTGTAAGGACCACAGGATATCTCCCTCTCTACAGCTCTATAATATGGAGGCAGAGGTGTTCTGTACTCCAAAAGATCTTCTAACTCATTTTTAGGGTTTACTTTTAGTACAAGCTGTAACATGTCAAAATGTGTTTATTTTATAAAAACGGGTGGGATTCAGGGCTCCAATATTTCAAAGTGTAACAAAACCCAACCCTTTTATACACAGGAATAATGCAAAGCGGTAAAGTGAGGGCCTAAAGCCTTCTATAAAGAGCTATAGATTTAAGCTCCAGATTCAAGTTTTTTTAGATTGAAGGAATCTCATCCAAGAACTCCTACCTTCATGACTTTTCAGAATTCACCTTCATGTATACAACTATCTAGAAGACACTCCTGTGTACACACACACACAAATTTGAAGTGCAGACTTTCAGCTTTAATTCAAGGGGTTGAAGATAAATCTCAAGTACAAATTTTAGGAACTGCAACCATTTTTATACACAGTCCTTCCATTTTCAGGGGCTCAAATGTAATTGGACAAATTGTTATTATACAGGATTTATATAGCGCCAACAGTTTGTGCAGCGCTTTACAATATAAGGGAGAAAGTACAATTACAATACATTTCAGTACAGAAGGAAAAGGAGTTTCCTCCTTTCTGATGCTTTGCCAGGCTCTAACTGCAGCTGTCTTCAGTTGTTCTTTGTTTGTGGGTCTTTCTGCCTTTAGTTTTACCTTCTGCAAGTGAAATGCATGCTCAATTGGGATGCGATCAGGTGATTGACTCAGCCATTGCAGAATATTCCACTTCTTTTCCTTCAAAAGCTCCTAGGTTAGCTTCCAGTGGAACTAAGTCACTAGTGTTTATTGATGATGTGACAGAAGACAGAAGTAACCGGATGAATTCTGCAGTGTTTAGAGATATACTGTCATCCCAGATTCAGCCAAATGCAGCAAAGATGATTGGACGACGCTTCACAGTACAGATGGACAATGATCCAAAACACACTGCAAAAGCAACCCAGGAGCTTTTGAAGGAAAAGAAGTGGAATATTCTGAAATGGCTGAGTTAAATCACCTGATATCAACCCAATTGAGCATGCATTTCACTTGCTGAAGGCAAAACTAAAGGCAGAAAGACCCACAAACATAGAACAACTGAAAACAGTTGCAGTTAGAGCCTGGCAAAGCATCAGAAAGGAGGAAACCCAGTCTTTGGTAATGTCCACGGGTTCCAGACTTCAGGCAGTCATTGCCAGTAAAGGATTCTCAAAATACTGAAAATGAACATTTTATTTATGATTATATTCATTTGTCCAATTACATTTGAGCCCCTGAAAATTGAGGGACTGTGTATAAAAATGGTTCCAGTTCCTAAAATTTGTACTTGATATTTATATTCAACCCCTTGAATTAAAGCTGAAAGTCTGCACTTCAAACTCATTTGGATTGTTTCATTTTAATTTATTCTGGTGGCATACAGAGCCAAAAGTATGAAAATTGTGCCTGTGTCCAAATATATATGGGCCTAAATGTATCTCTCTTTCTCTATATAAAAATAAGGCAGGAAATCAAACTCACTGGATTGTGCAACACAAGCTCTTTCAGTGCCTGGACATCTTCATTAAACGTGGCAGACATAAGGAAAGACTGAAATATCTTTGGAAGTTGGCTGATAAAAAAAAAAAAAAAAGAAAAGAAAGAAAAAAAAATAAACATTAAGAGGACAATTTGTAAATGTTTTCACACAACTTTCACCCAGGAATCACACATTTCTCAATAAAATCGAATTGGAAAAATGCCTACGTGATGCATTTATAAATAGACCTAAAAAAAAAAAAAAAAAAAAAATCATGACATATACCATTGATTCACTATATTATCGCATACCTTATCAGCATTTTGTTTAGAATCTACAGGCTCTTCCTGTGGGTGTGGCCTACCTATGCATTCACTTCTGTGCGTGAGCATTAAATTTCTTTTTAATTGCTATCTATTTTAATTTTTATTTTTACACTGTCCTTATAATTTTTCTTATCACTTTTATTCCTATTACAAGGAATATAAACATCCCATGTAATAGAAATAAAGAGAGATTCTGGGTCAATAAGACCCAAAATCTTCCTTCTACCTTTAAAAACAAAAGATAAAAAAAAAAAAAAACAACATTTATTGATCTTGTGCATAAAGAACTCTGGGCAAAAATGTCATTTTTCCATGCAGTGGGGCTGTGGGGAAGGGGTTGGTGTTAACGTCCCCTCCTGCAGCTTCTGAAAGCGATCCAGTGGCTCATTAGCTGCTAGGACCACTTTCATGAGAAAGCCAGTCGCCGGCTGGAAAGAAAAAGGAACAGCACACCGGTAAAAAGCTCACAGAGGCTCTAACAAAAACAAAAAATGTTTTGGCTGGAGGTGTGCTTTGAGAGAGCATAATCTTTGGCTTAAAGGTTTCTCTGCCAATTTAGAGGTTTTGACAGATTCCAACAAAGCTCAGTAATCATTAGAAATAATATAATGGCAGGTATCTCCATTATGCAGAGTACCCAGAACTTATCTATTCCTTATAGATTTGTAAACCTCTTCTCTATGCTGGCATGAGGGCAACTACAAAAGAGAATAAAAAGGTCTTACAATTGAAGCAAGCAGACAACCTCCAGCTCTTTCCAGAATCCACTTTGACACAAGCTGAGGAAATCAGCAGGTGGACAACCCTAAATCGTCCACCTTACAGGGTCCAGGAATTTAGTGCTTACCACAGTAAGTTTTTCAAATCATCTTCAAACCCGAATGAGAAGATCAGGTCAGCTTCATCAATCACCATTGCTTGGAGGGAGTCACGTACACACAGTGTTCCCTGATTCATGTGACAAAGTACTCTGGATGGTGTACCCACCACAATGTCTGGTTTCTCCATAAGGATTGGCCTGAAAGGAAAAGGAGCCCAGTTAATGAAAATTGCAGCAAGTTTAAAAAAAAAAAAAAAAAAAAAAAAATGTAAATCACTGTACGTAAAGAATATTTACCTCTGGGCAGAAACGTCCACCTGCCCGGAGATGTCCGCCACTCTTATATCACGGGAACAATAGGACGTTAGCTGACGAATCATTTGCTGAACCTGCTGGCCAAGCTCCTTGGTGGGTACTAGGATCAGGACCTGGACTGCCTGCTCAGAGACAGTCTGCAAACAATAGAATATCGGAGATATGAGAACACAGAGATAAAAATGTTCATTAATAAAATAAAGTTGTACACAACTCAAGTAATATGGAAAAGGAAGGAAGGAAGGAACGAAGAGGGTGAGAAAGGAAACTTACCAAATCTAGGAATACTATATTGTTTGCTATCCCCCTTACGCTGCCCTGTTATTTCCCACAAAAAAAATGCAGAATATTTTATATCTATTATCGAATCATAAAGCAGCAATAGTACTTCATTCCCTAAAGCAAGTTTGCTTGAATTAAAGGAACCTTTCTTCAGAAACATGGAGGCTGGCGATGCTGCTTCCACCACAATATTGCCTTAAAATAAATAGTTACAAGGCTGTCATGCTGGCCCTCTGGTTAAAATGCAAAACTGATCCAGTACAGATATGCAGATAAAGGACTTTAACTTTCCTGACCTGAACATTTGCTTCAGGTCAGCAAATCAAAGCATTAAAGCTGATCTCCAGCTTTTAGTGAAGTCTAAATAGTTTGTTTGGACCCAACTGCTCTAAGTGCAGCATGAAAAGTATGTAGCCTCAGCTACATACAATATACAGAGCTGTGCGCCAACAGTGGGATGGAAACTACCTATCCTACACCCATAACAAAACTGGGTCAGGCTGAGCACAGTTCCACCATGCACATGGGAGCTTTGTATTCTCAAAGAATACAAAGCTTCCTCTAATTGGCCAAGTCAGAGATCATGACATCCTCTGCCCGTCTCTCCACCTTAGCCAATCAGAGCTTCCTGTGAATGGATGAGCAGCTCTGATTTTGTTCTGCCCGTGGGGACGGGAAATTCCCATCCCACTGCTGGAATACAGCACTGTATACTGTATGTACAGTATCTGTGGCTACTGTGAAGTAAATAGTTGTTTGGACCAACTTGATTAGCTGAGGCAGAAAGGCAGGTGGGTGATGTCATGATTTCTGTCAACCAGAGCAAGCTTTGTATTCATTCATAGAATACAATGTTTTCTGTGAATGGCTGAGCAGCACTGTGTTCCACTGCCAGAACACAGCCTTGTATACTGTATGTAGCTGGTGATACATACGGTTTATACAACATGCCCAACAGGTGCATCAGTTAGTGAATGAAATAGTTCTGTTTAAAGTCGCAGTAAACAAGGATTTAGGCTTTAGTGCAGAATTTCGGGGCCTAGACAGTATAAATTATTAGACCGCAGATTTTATTTTTCAACAGTAACAGAAACACATGAAAAAAAAACAATTCACCACCATCAGTGGTAGTTATAGTAAACCAATGAAAATATGGAGCAGACATGCAAACAATGGCCTAGTAATGATAGAAACCAGGACCTAGTGCTGCAAAGCTACAGTAATATTACAGTCACATTTCTGAAATGGTCAGTACAAATTTTACATACCTGTGTAGCCATAACCTTCTTAAAATACAAAGTAAGACAACACTGCCATCAAATAGAGCAGGGATCCTCAAACTACAGCCCGCAGGCCACATATGGCAGGCCAGCGGGGAAAACAAAAAAAAAAAAAAAACCACACACAAAACCAGCGGCGGCCGGCAAATAGCCAGGCGGCTTGTTGGGTCCTCGCAGCAGAGGACCCTGCGAGCAGCCTAGCTATTTGCCAGCTGGCACTGTCCCCCCCTCCCGATTTCGCTGCACTAACTGCAGGCAGGTCTTAAAAGGGACATTGTTAACCTCTGCACTCCATTGTCCACAACTCAGTTCTGCATCCCAATCCACCTCCACACCTGACATAAACAAATCTCCTCTGCACTAATCTCAAATTACCTTTGCACACCCCCTTCCACAGCACACATCTGCACCCTTGTCTAAATTGTATCTGCAGCCAGCCTGGAAGTCCTTGATTTCACCAGCTGCAGCCAGGGGAGCAACAAGAGAGGAGTTGGAGAGCACACCAGGTACAGTGCGTTATGGAGTCCAGGGCGCTACAGTGCATCAGTGTCCAGGGCATTGCGGTGTCCAGTGCATTACGGTATCAACTGCGTTACAGTGTATTTTAAATATTGTACTGTTTTTTCCTGTTTTTTTTGCACTACAAATAAGATATGTGCGGTTTGCATAGGAATTTGTTCATACTATAGTCCGGCCCCCCCAACAGTGTGAAGGTCAGTGAACAGGCCCCATTTAAAAAGTTTGAGGACCCCTGAAATAGAGAGAGGCTACAGAACACATGCTATAACACAAACACAAAACAAATACACATACCAACTTGGACTGTAGAAGGTTCTGTATTATGGGAATGGAGTATGCTGCGGTCTTCCCTGACCCTGTCCTTGCCCGTGCCAGAATGTCCTTTCCTTCCATGGCCAGCGGAATGGCTTTCTCCTGAATTAATGTTGGCTTGGCCCATCCTAAATCTGCTATGGCCTACAGCGGCATGGAAATGACAGAAAAAAAAAAAAAAAAAACAAAAAAAAAAAACAGAATTTTAGGTCAATCTATTAAATTTGTAAAGGTTAGTATATACTCTATGGACCAATGACTCTTAAGGTTTCTGTAGAAACACGCTGATAGACATACATGCTCTACTCAACAGTTTCATACTCTGTAAAGATCTAAACCTCACATTAATCAAATGTACTGTATTGGAACATCCCAAAACATCTTTCATATACCCACTTTATTTTTATTCATTATTTATCAGTGATGTTCTGCAGAATTTTAATTAATCGAAAAACCTTGAAAGGTTAGGTGCACAACTATCAGCTTTTTTAGGCATTTTTAAAGTGTTTTTGTATATACCAACGGTACGCAGGTTACTAGGAGAAGGAAACAGGTTGTTAGGTGACAAAAGTTGTTACACAGAATTTTTAAGCTCTCCCATGAAGCCTAGAAGAGTAAGCACTCCTTTGGCATTGACGAGCATTGTCGCAGCTTTAGAAAACACACAAAAAACCCCCAGGTGTGACAGGTCTGGATCTGGGGATGGGGGGGGTGCTGGATAGGCCTGTGACACCCCCCCCCCCCCCATCTCTGAGAATGATAAGCCAGTCTGGTGGCGGCTGTTTATGCGACGGGAAGCCGTGGTGGCGGCAGTTGATGTAAGGGGGAATGCCAATGAGGGTACGCTTACGAGGGCAGCTGAACGAAGAAGGGGGCACGCTTACGAGGGCAACGCTTACGAGGGCACGAACGAAGGGGGCACGCTTACGAGGGCAGCTGAACGAAGGGGGCACGCTTACGAGGGCAGCTGAACGAAGGGGGCACGAGGGCAGCTGAAAGGGGGCACGCTTACGAAGGAAGGGGGCACGCTTACGAGGGCAGCTGCTTACGAGGGCAGCTGAACGAAGGGGACAGTTGATGTAAGGGGACACTGGTGCAGAGAGTTGATGCAAAGGGGAATATGACAAGAAACCTGATGTAGAGAGACTCTGTTGACAAGTCCTGATGTTAGAAGGGAAAATCCTGATGTTAGATAGGGACATGTGATATGAGAGGGCACAGGTTATGTTTAACACATACAAGCATTCGCTGTTCACTCCTGCACTGTACAGACACTGTCGGTCAAGTACTCGCCGATACTTTAGTATCAATACACCAATCAGATGCTACCTAGCCCGAACTGTGTTATCAATGCAAGGAAAGGAAAGAAAGCGGCGGGGATTTCAAATCCCCACTGCTTTCTCTCCTCTCCTGCCACTAAGCTTGGGATGCCTACAGGGAGGTTTCCTGCACCGCTCCTGTGTGGACTCGGGCTATGACAAGCCTGGATTCACGCAGGTGCAGTGGGGAAACCACATGCAATTTGGACAGGAATCGCATTCCTGTTCAAATTGCATGCTAATCTTTGTGCCATTAATACAAATCGCTCCACAAAGTATTGGTTAAAGTGGTTGTAAAGGCTCAAGGTTTTTTACCATCATGCATTCTATGCATGAAAGTAAAAACCTTCAGTGTACAACATTTCCCCCCCCCCCCATACTTACCTGAGCCTCACTGCAATGCAACGATGTGAACGACAGCCTCAGCTGTCCCCATTGACTCCCGCTGCTGTCAATTACAGCCAGTCAGCCAATGAGGACAGCTAGGGGGTGGGGCCAAGCCATGGCTCCATGTGTGAGCAGTGGGTGCCCCCTCAGCAAGCTGCTTGCTGTGGGGGCACCCAACAGGAGGGAGGTGCCCGGAGAGCCTGCGGAGGACCTGAGAAGAGGAGGATCTGGGCTGCTCTGTGCAAAACCACTACACACAGCAGGTAAGTATAACATGTTTGTTATTTACAAAACAAAATTAACCTTTAGAATCGCTTTAAGGTATCGGTAGTATTTTCGCAAGTACTCATGAAAATACTTGTTATCAGTGCATCCCTAGTCTGTACTTTATGGAATAGGTCATGGTGGAGGGTCTGATGATAGTAAGCTCTGCTGACCAAGCCCTGTATGGAAGGAAGGTGTACCCATCCAGAATATAAGCCATGCTGGGACCTCTGCCTCTACAAGTCCTGGACAGACACTGTGTACACGCAGCAGCTGGTCACAGAACACACGGTTCCTTTAGTAGCACCTAACCCCACTACCCTCCACAGCACACTGACACCAAGCTCTCACCTTCAATAGCCGGTCATCCAGCCCCAACTCATGGAAGCGCAGAGTAGCCATACCCACGTGTGGCACCAGGGAGGACCGATACCACAGAGATGCCTGTATTGGCTAGCGTGTCGGCACATACCATAGAGAGGACACTACAACAGCGCCTGATACAGGAAGGATAATCCGCTCGTTTATTCCAATGACATGAGACCGCACCGCCATCTTGTGGCAGACGTGTGTGCATGCATGTTTGTGAGTGTGAAGGAGCAGTTCTGCCACACGACTATTTCTGTAATTTTTGAAGCCCGAAGTGAAAAATACTAAAAGTAAAATGCTATGTAATAAAAGTGGCCAAATGGTGTAAAATGGCTAATGAGACTGTTATATGAACACACAAAGCCCTCGGCTGTGCCTGCCTGGTTGTCAGATTGACTCTGCAAATGTCTAGTCAGCTCCCTCTCAGGGGCGGACTGACAACTCATGGGGCCCCCGGGCAATAGGGGATTATGGGGCCCCTGTGTCCTTGCCCAAACTCAAACTCAAAAGCCTATGAAAAAGGTACCAGGGGCATCTTATGGGGCCCCCTACTGACCCCGGGCCCTCAGGCAGTGCCCGAGTTTTCAAATGGTCAGTCCACCCCTGCTCCCTCTAGTTCCATATTGCACCATACTGCTCAGTCAGGAGGTTTAGGAATAGAAGATCGCAGTAGTAGATATATGCGATTCGTTTAGTTATGAAGCAAAAATATGGATACAATTTTTATTATGCGGAGATTCAGATGTATCCAAATCTCCGAATCACAATAGTAACGAGTTTAAACGAATCCAAAATAAATTATAACAAAAAAAAAATGGCATTCATATTCATTCATGTGACATGATGCAACAGTTTTGGCCTTTTGTTAACTACTTCCAGTCAGGACACTTTTACCCCCTTCCTGCCCAGGCCAATTTTCAGCATTCAGCGTTCTCACGCTTTGAATGACAATTGCACGGTCTTGCAACTCTGTACCCATATGAATTTATTATCATTTTTTTGAGACAGATAAAATGTTAATTTGGTGTTATTTATTCACCACTGGGATTTTTATTGCTATATAAATAAAAAAAAGGCCAAACATTTTGAAAAAAGGTGCTTTTCTTATACAATTTTGCAAATAAATAATCTTTCTTCATAAATCTTGGCCAAAATGTATTCAGCTTTCTTTTTAGTGAAAAAAATTACCCAAATTAGTTTATAACCAAAAATTATAATTTTTCTAAAACATTTTTTCAATTTTTTTATATTATTATGTTTTTTTTTTTAAACATACTGTCACCCTAGCAGTACACTGTCATGGTGACACTGTACTACTTGTGGGGAGTGATGATTTTTTTTTTTTGTACACTGATTGCTTTTACACCCCTAGGGGCTGTAAAAACAATCATTTCTCTTTCTCTCTGGCTGCATGATTGGTCACAGCTTGTCACATGGTACAAGGCTGTTGTGAATAGCCTTGTACCATGTGATCTCTGTGATCATTCATTTCACACGTAGTAAGCAGTGATGTCAGAAGTGAAATCTTGCTTATTACTATTCATGTGATCACTGATTGGCCAATCAGTGATCACATGATTGGGACCTCATACAGAGGTCCTGTACAGCAATCTGTGTTCCGCTGTGTCCTCTGGATCGCGGTGCCGTGCGCTCCCAGGCTAAAATGGCAGACACCATTTATGAACGGCAACCCGCCCCTGCACTGCTCCCATCCACCCGTTTATATACCTGGGCTGGACGAGAAGTGGTTAATGTGTGAAGCATCCAAAATAAAGTAATGATGTAACGAACAATCCAAACTGATTCAGATCCTTTAATTTTGTTCTAGTGAGCATTCTAATAATCAGCCGATTCTTTTTGTATTAACATTTTTCATTAGTATATTAAAAAAATGTGCTACATATAAAATGGAATCATAGTTACATAGTTAGTCTGGCTGAAAAAGACAAAAGTCCATCCACTTCAACCATTACAAAAAAAAAAAAAAATATAATCCTATACCCACAGTTGATCCAGAGGAAGGCAAAAAAACCCAGCAAAGCATGTTCCAATTTGCTCCTGCAGGGGAATAAATTCCTTCCTGATCACCCGAGAGGCAATCGGATATTCCCTGGATCAACTTTACCTATAAATGTTAGTATCCAGTTATATTCTGTGTATCTAGGAAAGAATCCAGGCCTTTTTTAAAGCAATCCACTGAGCTGGCCAGAAGCAACTCTTGAAGGAGTCTATACCACATTTTCACAGTGATCACTGTGAAGAAACCTTTCCGTGTTTGGAGATTAAATTTCTTTCCCTCCAGATGTAAAGAGTGTCCCCTTGTCCTCTGTGATGACCTCAGGGTGAATAACTCTATCCTGAGTTCACTATATGAACCACTGATGTATTTATACATGTTGCTCATATCCCCCCTTAATCTCCTCTTCTCAAGAGAGAATACATTCAGTTCCTCTAATCTTTCCTCATAGCTGAGCTCCTCCATGCATCATATTGCAATTATTACAGTAAGGTAGGGGTCTCCAAACTTTCTGAACAAAGAGCCAGATTACTGTCCTTCAGACTTTAGACTGTGGCCAGTAGGAGTAGAACAGGTGTAGGGAAAAATGTCAGTGGCCTCCACCTGTAAAACCATTTCTGTTTTGGGGGTCATCTCATTGTTGCCCATCTAGTACACCTGTTGTTAATTTCATTAACACCAAAGCAGCTGAAACTGATTAACAACCCCCTCTGCTACTTAACTGACCAGATTAATATCCCAGGAGTTTAACTGACTTGATGCAATACTCTGATTAAAAAGTGTTCCTTTCATTTTTTTGAGCAGTGTACATCTCAGAATAGAATGTCCCAGCAGGATGGATGGGGGGGGGGGGGGGGGGGGGGGGGGGTATTCCTCTATCGACATATGTTGTGTGCCTGAAGGAATCTGTTAATTTTTTTTCCTTCAGCCCACTGGCTGAACTAAACAAAAAACGTTTATGGCCAGTATTACCCTGACTGAGTTACAGAGATGTTGCTGTGAAGAACCCATGTTTGTGCAGCCTTCATGTTTCATTTGTATTGGGCTCCATGCACACGGGGCACTTTGATAACGCTGGTAACGTTAGCTGTTTAGTCACGTTAAAAATGTGAGTTTTTCAGCTTTTTTTTAGCATTTTTGCATTAGTGTTTAGCGGCGGTTTGCTGCATTTAGCGGCGTTTCCCGGCGTTTGCGTTATTTTTACCAAAAAAATATTTTTTTGGACAAAAAAAGTTCAAAAACGTCAGTTTGTGGCATTTAACCGCGTTTTGCCACGTTTTTCAGCATTAGAACATTTTTACAGCTAAAAAACTCCTCTAAAAATCCACTAGTCCTGGGTTTTTTTTTTAGTCTAAAAATGCTGAATACAGTCTATGTGTGCATGGATACATAGGATAACATGCTGGGGGGCTACTGGCTGTAGAAAAAAACATCAAAAGCCAAAAACAGCAGCTGTAAAAATGTCCAGTGTGCATGAGCACTTATCATTCTGAACCTGCTTTGCATTATTAATTCAAACTTTGCACTTGTTTGGTAAACTGCAAGCTGCAGTTACTCAGTGATCATCCAGAATCCTGTTATTTTAGATCAGGTAATATGCTGCTGTGGGGTTAGGGTTCATTATTAATGTGATCCTGTCAATTGCCTAAAAAAAGTCTACAAGAAGATTCCATTCAATATATATACTCACTTCTTGGATGGTCTGTGCCTCCCACCCAGGGGCAGACTGACCATTCTGGCACTCAGGCACTGCTTGAGGGCTCAGAGTCAGTAGGGGGCCCCATGAGATGCTCCTGGTACCTTTCATAGGCTTTTTTGGGTGTGGTTTGAGTGTGGGCGAGGACACAGGGACCCCATGATCCCCTATTGCCCGGGGGCCATATGAGTTATCGGTCCGCCCCTGCTCTCACCTTTGCACTATTCCAGCAATGCAGCTTCTGGTAGACTCTCCAGCATTTGACACTTCCGGGGATAGCATATGCACCCATTGCATGCCAGGAGCTGTGGTTTCATACTCCAATCCCCACTTTACTACAGGACACAGCAGGACCTTCCCAGGGGCGGACTGACAACTCATGGGGCCCCCGGGTAATAGGGGATCATAGGGCCCCTGTATCCTTGCCCATAACTCAAAAAAGTCTATGAAAAAGGTACCAGGGGCATCTCATGGGGCCCCCTACTGACCCCGGGCCCTCGGGCAGTGCCCAAGTTTCCAAATGGTCAGTCCGCCCCTGGACCTTCCTCTCCTTTTATCTGTCTGAGCACTAGAAAATACCTGGTACTTGACATATAACTCTCTCCCATTTCTCCCAAGACAGGATTGGGCGTGGCAGAATTGTTTTCGATAACTACAGCAAAATTTTGCATGTCACATTAAAGTGATAGTGAACCCTCAGTTGTTTTTCGTTTTTAACTTTCAGGATATGATTTATTCTCTTGATTTTAATCCTATGTCTATGTTCCTATTTAAACTGGTGCTATGATCACTGCCCCAAGTTTCCTATTTCAGGGTGGCTCCATCCTCTTGCTGCATTGTATGAGCCACCTTTGCATGCAGGGACTAGAGTTGTCTCTACACTGTATGCATCAATAGAAACTCACAGCCCTGTGGCTTAGAATAACAAGGCACTCCCCTGCGCTTTCACTCAGGGGGAGATTTACTAAAACTGGAGAGTGAAAAATCTAGCGCAGGTCCGCATAGAAACCAATCAACTTCCAGGTTTAGTTGTCAAAGCTTAAAGTGGAAGTAAACCCTATTTTTTATGCTTTACCTACAGGTAAGCCTTAATAAGGTTTATCTGTAAGTACTGTAAATATTTCCTAAACATGCACCATTGTTGAGATATTTACTGTAGCAGTGCTGGTGATGTCACCGGTGCACATGGACTGCACTCTGAATGGACAGTGGGCGTTCATTGAGAGAGATGTGCCGTGGTCGAAACTCACACGTGCATTTGCGGGACTGATGTCACCATTGCTCGGCCAGTCAAACGCCCACTGCCCATGAACCCAGTAG